TCAAGTCAATCCGGTCGGTGGGTCGGTCGGTGGTGTACGGTCCGGTCGGTGGGTGGGTCGTTGGTAAACTGAAACAGACAAAATAAATCGCGAAGTAAATAGTTGCAAAATTACCTACCTATGTCACCCTAATGTATATGTTAAGATAAGCGCACAGCCACAACGTTTTACAACCCACTCCTTGTTATATCACTTCGCGAGTGTGCGCACTCATCACCAGAGTCCCTCACCATCTCTACCAGAGTATCATCACCAGAGTCCCTCATGCATCTTAGCAATCGCAGGCAGCGGTGACAGCTGGCTAGGATGGCAAGATATTTACACGGCGTATCATATAGCCATGTCTGTTGCACTTTCAGTTCAAGGAACTGAATTATGCACACCGCGTGTTGACTGATAACACGCTCAAGGAGATATACGACGAATACGGCTTCAATGGTCTCGATGTGGCAGAGAATTTTGGCAAAGAAAAAGTGCATGCGTACTTCATGCTTAAGCGGATTAAAAACAATAAATGGGTAAAGGTAAGTCCCCTGGTGGTGAGTCACTCGGATATCACGTCACCTCACGTTAACGTTGCATACTGAAACTGTGGCCCACTCAACCGTTGACGTCAACTGACCATCAACTAAGGGTCGAAAATGATAGTTTTGCTGACATCAACCGTTGACGTCGTATTGACATCACACATTGACGTTGTATTGACATCACATATTGACGTTGTATTGACATCACACATTGACGTTGTATTTACATCACACATTGACGTTGTATTGACATCAACCGTTGATGTCGTATTTCAACTATTTACGTTCCAATGGGCTAAAACAAACACAAATGTATAATTCTACAATGTCTTTATTTCCCAAACTATGCAATAATGAACTCATTAGTTTCTTCCACTTTTTCCACATCCGCTCTTTTTTCCAATTGGCATTTGTATAAAATACGTTGCATCACTTCTTTGACTTGGTGTTCTGTACATCCATCCATCTGGTTCCTTGCAGCAGCCGAAATTATAATAACATCGTAAATACCTTTTATGATATTATCTCTATAGAAGACATGAACTATTTTTTAGAGATCTTTCAATGTAATATAATATTTTGAGATTTTACAATTTTATTGATTAAGATTACTATATTTGATTGTCTATTGGTGTATCCCATAGTGTTATGCCCACCGTAAGATAGATTAAACGACGAATGGCAAAATCTTACATCTGCAAAGTAAACGTTGACTGTTTAATTAGAAGGCTTATAACAACTTGGTCGAAGCATGAATTTAATTCTACACTACATACAATAGCAGGTGGTGTCTTAGGTGTGATCGGCGAATGCAGTCATTATAGTAGAGCAAGCAAACTAGGGGTAATTTCAAGTGGTTGTTGAGAGCAAATGTCGCTAAATACATGTGATAGAACTGAATGTAAAATGCATATAGGTAAGTAATAGAAAAATATATGCGATAATGTTGTGTTTACTCAGGTTTCACGGCAAATAATATATAACAACAATAGAAGATATATTCACTTACCTTCTTGTATGTTTTTTAAACACTGATACTGTTGTAGGGATAAATATATCATGAATGTAAAACAGTGATACGTAACAGTCTTCTAAGTGGTGACAACTACAGTTCATTCTAAGTATAGACAAATAACACAGTAAAAACAGTGAACAACATATACCAGTCACAGAGTGCCGTCGTCTCCCCCCCCGTCTCTACCAAAACCTCGACGTCAGCATTCCCGCTGCGACCTTTTTGAACTTAATTAACTGAATTAACCCAGATCGCTGTCACAGGAAAAGTGGCAGCGTGCGCTGCTTTAGCCGGAAAAATCGCGAGTTGGTGATCTCGTCCAATGTTCGGTCGCCAAAGATTTTCACCAGGGACTTATAGGCAGTGATGACGATGAGATTGTCACACCCCTGTGTGAAGTATCGGGGTGCTCAAGGCCCCAGGCAACGGCCAGGACCTCTCCTTCAATAGCTGCATGCTTAGCGTTGTTCTGCAGAGGACAGGAATTGCGAGCCGGCCAGGGTGATCCGCCATCCTCCGGGGCAGCAGTCAGGGGCGCCGGAAGGGCAGCTGCAATGTTGCTGGAGTAGGAAGTAGCCGATGCCACGTCTTGACCAGTCAGGGCGCAGACAGGTGCGCCTCTGCATGTCGAAGATCTCTACACCCTAACGGATGGCTTTAATGATTGCTTGTTTAGACGCATGGGAGGCCTCCTCCAATTCGGTAGACCATGAGAACTTGCAGCGTGGACTGAGGAAGGTCTTGAACGGCGCGATAATGTCGCGCAGCTGACGACCTGGTTCACGAGGCCAAACCAGCTGCGGATGTTTGTCGTAGATACTGGTGAGGGGTAGTCTCTTATGGCATCGCGGTATTTGGGTAGCGGCTCAATGATGGAATCGGAAACCCTGAAGCCTGCAAAATATAGAATCCTCTCCGCAAACTGGAACTTGTCAGGGTTCAGCACAATTCCTACCTGGCCTACGCGTTTGAGGAGGTTGATGGACCGCCACCAGTGCTGCTTAAGGTCTGAATCATAATGGACGGTGTCATCGACGCGGCGCTCTTTGCGCTCAAAGTTCGATAGAACGGCGTCAACGCAGCGATTGTAACCGTCCCCCGACGAGAGGAAGCCTTGCGGCGCACTTGTGTACCACCGGACAATCGGCGTAATAAAAGTGGTCAAGTGGCTATCAGATTGGCGCAGGGGTACACTGTGGTAGGCGTTTCAGGCGTCCGGGACCGTCTTCCACGTGTCCATTGGGATACGATGCACAAGGTGGAAGGGCGACTCCAGGGCAAACGTCTCCCGTTTACAGAACATGTTCAGTGGCGAGAGATCAACTGTTCGACGTGTAGAGCCGCTGTGCTAGCGTGTGATCACCATGCGATTGCACCACGTCACGAGTTCACCGTATGGGACGCGTTCAAGGACGCCGAGAGCTTCGTCACGGAGGTCTTCATACACCCGCCGCTGCCAATGCAGCGGCACAATAGCCGGCGTGTGACATGCCTTTGGTATGGCAGACATGTATTTCGACCGGCGGTCCCTCCATGCAGGGTAGCGACCGGTAGGGGCACGTGTTGAACGTGGAAGAGGCATATCTGTCGAGCAACAAAGCTTTCATCCGCCCATTATTTTCTGGAGTGCAGGGGCATGGCAGTACATATGGACGTGGCGGCGCAGCTTCACGCTGAGGACATGATCGCACGTCGCATCGCTTGAGGTGCCCGGCGCCTTGCAGCCGCCGTTGATTGTCCGCATAGCGATGATGGAAGGCAGCTTGCAAGGGGCGTCAGAGACTTTAGGGTCACCAGTGCGGCGCTTCTCACTACGCCTACTTGCGTTGTCAAAAGAAGTGAAAGTTATTCGATAAGATGCCGAGGTTGAGCTTCGACTCCCACGACGGGTACATAGCTTGGACGGAGCTGCTGACCTATACAATTGAGCGGCACAACGCCACCTCGTCGCTACGAGATTTTGCTGTAAGCCTGGAGAAGAACGCTCCTTCAATTGAAATTGGTGAGCGGTTGGCGGCTGATAGGCCAACGGTGACGGGGAATAGATCGCCGCTTGAAAATCCGCATACTAAGAAGTCTGCCAGTGACCATAAGTCCGATTGTGCGCCGGTCTCCGCAATTGCCGAGACCTCCGCGTGGGCGTTCGAAGTGTAGGCGGGGCTGCCATTTTTAGCCCGGGCTGAGGTGTCAACCGAGATGGTGATCGAGACTCTTGGGTGGGCTCGGAGATGTGCCGGTTTCCACTCACCCGCAGTGAAGACATGATGATCAAGTATCACAGGTGAGAGTGTGTTGACAGTGCGACGTGTGGCCGCGGCGCATCTACGGCGACATCGTCGGCGTTGTGGATGGGAGCGGGCTCTGCCAGACTAATGTGCTGCGACTTGGGATATCGGGTCTGATTCTATGGCCTGAACGGTGGGCGGGGGCCCGGGATCGCGTGCTGTGAGCGCTTTCTGCGGCGGCAAGCTCTGTAGCAGTTGATACAGACTTGGTGGGGATTGGTGTTCTAGCCCCGAGCTCCTTCCGTGAAGATGTTGAAGGGGTTCTTACAGCATGGGCACCATCCTTGTTTGGCCCGATCCGCACAGGATAGGGTCACGGTAGGAGCTGCTGTCGGCGGACGTCGGCTGTTGGCGTCAAAATGAGGAGATGCAGACAGGGTTGATAACGGGAGGGCATTGTGCGCCATATCCTTGCTCTAAAAGGGCGATCACGTCGTTAACCGTGTCTTTATGATGTCTATGGTCCCCAGTAATTTGCGGCGGATGTTTGAGTCGGATATCCCACTGAGGAGGACACGTCTCGTATGATGTGATCGGTGTAGTCAATGCCCTTCCCGCACTCGCACTCGGCAGCGAAGGCACAAGTCTCGGCTTTCCCACGCACCTTTTCTGTGAATGTGCGAAACGCTTCATCACGTTCCTGACGTAGCTGCAGCAGCTCGGGGCGCAGAACACTAGTGGCAACTGGGATGACTGCGAGGGAACGCATGGCGGCGAGCAGTTGTCGCAGGGAGTCAGAAGCAGCGTCTGGGTTGGCTTTTAAGAGGCTGTCACCGAACTCTGTTCCTGCGCATTGAAACAACTGTGAAGGTGCTGATGCATCGTCGATGCCTGATCCGATACGGAAGACTTCCCAGCGGCGGATGAATACATTCCACCCCTCGATTGATACGCCAACTTCTACGTACTTAGGGCAGCGAGGGGCGGGCGCCGGCACAGGCCTGGCGACGGCAGATGGTGCGGCTTGATGGGCGAATCCATGGTTGGCGAGGAGGGCGATAGCGAGTAGCTCCGAGACGTCAGTTGACCTGAAACCGCAGTCGGGGACCGAGCATTCGACAATAACCATTTTGATTGCAGTCTGTAGCCTTGCTCATCAATTACTCTCTAGTACAGCCAGTTCTCCAAAATCTCCAAAATGGGCGCCGCCAGAGAGAACAATCCCACAAATGGTTTGTTCATAAAGAAACAATTAACATTTTCGATGATAAAATCAGCTTTATTGTCAACGATAAAGAAACCATTCTGCAACAGAGTGAGAACAGTGATATTGCAATGCATTAAAACTGAACATAACATAACTAACGAAACGTAATTAAGCACTGACTCTTACGAGAACTTAAAGCAAGGTAGTTTGATAAACGAGTGCATTCTATAATATATATATATATCCACAAGCGAAGTCCCCGGTCAGCGGTCCACCTTCCATAAAAAGAGTCCTGGGAACGAAGATGGTCAGCGGTCAACTCTGCAGTCACAACCTACTTTGAGTGTCTGCAAGAAGTACGCAGGAAGTCATGGAACTGTATTAGGAGCAATTTACTGCTTCCGTCCTCATACCACTACCATTAAAACGCAGAGATTGTTTGAGAGGGAAGAAGATGTGTATGTTCCATTTGGATCCGTGACAATGCAAAAGTGTTTAGCGTGGACATGTGTACGTGACACAGGGAGTGTGTGCACATAAACCGTGTGCACAGAAGATTGTGTGAGCCTTGTGAGGCCCGTCTGTTAACTCTAACACGTTTTCATACTGTAGAAACATTTGTGTGTGACCTGGCGCATCCGTAGATAGGCCAGTTGGTGAATAAAGTTTAGGCCGCTCTGCCATATGATATGTATGTGCATAGTTAATAGAACTAATACAAGATGTCCCGTTCCGACGAGTGTTACAGTGTGGAGCGACAGTTCCACTGATACCCAGCCAGTCGTGATATTTGTGAGAAATTTCCACGTATTCTCTACCAATGTGTGAACGAATGCATCAACTATATAGGTAAATTTATAAGGCCAGTCTAGGACCACTACTACCTTTTCATGTTTATACCACGTGCTATAATATCAAGTTTGTAAGTTCCATTGCATCGATTTGTGTGCTTTGTGTGGTTTCAGCGTATCTGGACCTGGAGGACTGCTGCGGTTGTTTCCGCTTCTTTTGTGATATGGTTGATGTGGCGTTTTGTGAAGTATAGAGCCTAAACTACCTGAGGGAACAGACGCCTTGCCCCAATGTAAGTAGCCTTCATCACTGTGTCTTTCATGAGGTGACCCGCTCTTCCACATGTCTGAGAAGTCCCACTCTTTTTAAAGGTCTGTGTATACACACCCTTACCTCAGGTCTGTGTAGACCCACCCCTTTCATAGTTCTGTGTATACCCACCCGGCCTCACCACAGGCCTGTGTAGACCCACCCTCCCCACAGGCCTGTGTACACCCAATGCTCTCCACAAGGCTATGTAGATCCACCCTCCCCACAGGTTGGTGTAGACCCACCCTTCCCACAGGTCTGTGTAAACCAACCCTCCCTACAGGTTGGTGTAGACCCACCCATCCCACAGGTCTGTCTATGTACACCCTCTCCCAGATTTTCAAGACCAGTGGCGTAGCTAGGATTTTTTCAGCGGGGGGCACTGGGGGGCCTTACATTTTCGTGGGGGGGACAATATATAATTTTACTGAGATGTGGTTCGAACCCTCTTTCCATAACGCTTGCAACAGCCTAACAATGAACGCCAGCAGGATTTTCACTGAGAGAAACGCTGACAGCTAGTCAGTGGGACAAAGTCGAGCGAAGTATAAGAGACACGTGTATTTTAACAAAGACCCGATCGTACGTAAGAGCTGCTCTACCTGACGCGTGTATTCGTGTTGTCTTCTCCTACAGCGGACGATATTGGTCATGGACTTGGGATGGTCATCATGCAAGGATTCCGCCGACTGCAACGGCGCTAACCTCAACAATTGTTTAATGCTGGCCTTGGCTGTTGACTTGTAATGGGCTGTACGAATGTGGAGCAGCCACCTATACGCTCGGACACGATGCAGCGGTGGCGCTCTATTCTCGGGGGTATGCTGTCACGGTGATGCGTGGAGCTAGCATCAGCCTGTATGGAATTGGCATATGTGCACGCATAAACAGAATACCGTGGCTCCATCGTGCATGCCGTGTACACTCACCTGTGTTGATGTCTCCAGCACGCACTGGGTGCGTGCTCATTGTGGCATGCTTCGTGTACAACAATGCTCCCTCGGCGTTTGCATCTATGATCAAGCAGCATATTAACTGCAGCCGTCTCAGTATGTATCGTTGATCAGTGGTTGGCACGCGGGTTTCAGTGTTATTTTCTTGCGGGGTCCTATATTGGCTTTACATTCATCGCCAACTGAGCTTACTGCTGACACCGTGCGCTCATGGCCGAT